CGGGCCCCGGGGCTGGCCCGGGCGCGAGCGGGGCGGGCGGCACGGGGGCCGGCGCCGGGGACCCGCAGCTCGTGGCCATGATCGTGAACCATCTCAAGAGCCAGGGGCTCTTCGACCAGTTCCGCAGGGACTGCCTGGCCGACGTGGACACCAAGGTGCGGGGCGCGCGGGGCACGGGGAGGACGCCCAGGGCCGCCGCCTCCGGCGGTCTCCCGCGTCTGTGGCAGGGACGCTGCGCCTGGCTTCCCCGGCCGGGGCCCCGCTCGAGCGCGCCGCTCCCCGAGCTCCCTGGGCAGCCGCTTCCTCTCCGAGCTGCCACTCTGTGCCCCGCGCGGTGCCCGGCACGGCGCGCTCCTCCGTTCGCCTGCTCTTCCCTGGGTGCAGCCGAGCGGTGCTCAGCGCCTCCCGCGCTGCTCGGGCGCCGGGAATGCACGGGCGAGCAAGGCTAAGCCGTTTTATCCTTAACGGAGACGCGTCTGGAAACAGTTACCCATGCGTTCCCATCTGGTTAGTTTGTGTGTGTGTGTGTTTTCCGCGGTTTACTTTGTATCCACACTACTCGCTTAAAGGTTTGTTGCGGTAAGCGTCATGTCTTTGTCCTTTGGAGAAATTATTAAGTGATCATCGAATCAAATTGTTTGCAGTGTGCATTGCTGGATTGGGGGGGAGGGTGCGGGGGGGGGCAAAGATAAGGCGTCAGCGCTGGACCGCGACAAGGTGGGTCGGGGAGATCCGGACTTACGTTTCTACCAGTGACTGTGTGAGGTAGGTAACTTAGACCAAGTCACTTCTCGAAAGTGAGAAGGGAGCGGGGCGGGGGAAAGAACCGGCACCTAGCCATTCAGCGGGGAAAGGATGGAGGAGAAGTGACGGCAGCTAATACAGTGGAAGAAGGACAGGCAAGGCAAAGTTCGGGAGAGGAAGGAGGAAAGGCGAAAGGTCTGCACCGTGGCTCCCTGTACAAAAAGAGCTAGAGGCTGGGCAGGGGAAGGGACTTACACCAAATGTCAGGGTGGAAGGGGTGTTAGCAGGAACCAGCTCACCTTAGCTGGTTGGGCAAAGGATGAGCAGAGGACACGAAGAAGGAGCAGTCTTGGTGAGATGGATGGAAAACCAGCAGAGCCTGGAATTCTGGAAGCAGGTGAAGCAGGAAACATTTGGAAAACTGTTGGGGCTTTTTGTTTGTTTGGGTTTGGGGGGGTTGGTTCCTTTTGGCTTAGATCTGGTTGGGTCCATTAGATAGGCGTTTTGATGGGGTGAGGGTTTTCTCATAGCACGTTGGGCTGTTGTGAGGAGCCTCCTTTCTTTTGAGAATGAGGTGTTTGCATTGTCCACCAATTCTTTCCTGTGACTCTGTTCACCAGGCTTCGAGGTGAACTGCACAGAATTCCGCTGCGTCCTCTGGAAACCTTGAAAATCTAGGGACATTGTTCCTTACAAGGACTAGCCACCCCGCACTCCCATGTAGACCAGAAGTACAATGGCCTTTTCAAGGCATTGGAGTTTTTGCACCACAGAGAATTCAATTTACCTGGGGTGTTTATCTCCGCAGGAAGTAGATAGTTTTCTCACTTCATTGTAGGGAATATGCACAGCCACCTTTTTTGAAAATAATGCTGATTGCCTTCTATATATATATATATATATATATATATGTGTGTGTGTATATATATATATACACACATATATATATATGGTTTTGTTTTCTTAATGGGAGACTATCAGACATGGCCAGGTAAATGTTACCCAGATAAAGCTGGTTATTTGTATCCTGCAAATAGATATTTCAGTTTATTATTCTCAGAAACCTACAGATCTGTGTGTTATTGTATATGTAAATTGAAATTTTAAATATACGAGTGGGGAGGGGCTACAATATATAAGGTTCAGCTTTTTCTTTATCTCATCCCCATTGAATGTTATTCTTGTATTGTCTGTAATATCCCTGCCAGTCCCTCTCAAGTGGAGACTTAAAACCTTTCCTGGGGAGGAGGGAACACAGTGTCTTTGACAGTAATGAAAACCAGGACCTTCTCCCAAGAAAAGTCTACATATGCATATTAAAAATGCTGTTTTTGTAATTCAGAAACAGCTATCTGTGATGTCATGTGGATCAACCTAATAAATAGTTTCAGGGAGTTCAGGGGTCACAGAGTAAGGTTCCCGGTATTAATGTTTGATGCTAGAAGAGAACTGAAATGATAACCCGCTCCCCAGCAGAGGGAACTCCTGGGTATGGTCTCGTGTTCTCTCTCTCTCTCAAAAAGAGTAAGTTTGAAAGTCTCAAAAAACATATGAAAGCCAAAGTTTTGTTTGATATGAGCTTACCATTTCTGTCAGTGTGATGCATGGGCCAAAATAGAAGTAAGAATCCCTAGTCACGCAGAGAAGCATCACTTTAAGGGAATCCTTGGGTCTCATCTGTTAAGAACACCTCAGAATTTAGACTCTTCGTGGTATGTCTTTGACATTGAACCCTAAAGACTGACCTGTGTTATGTAGTATATAGGGTTGTAGCAGGAACTGGATTGTCAGTCACATGCATAGTTAAGAATCAAGATATCTGACACCTACCAGACACTCTGTAACAGCAACGCCGTCATCCAGCCCAGCAAGGTGAGAAGGACCAAAGTCTGCTGCCACTCCAGAGGACCACCTGCCCTGGGAGAGAGAGATCCGAGGTCCAGCACACCCAAAGAATTGGAACCTGGGGCAGCCCCAGGATCCAACCAGTGCTGGGGTTCCCGTGCTGCAGACTCCTGATTCCCAGGCCCCTGGAGCAAGCCAGCAGGTTACACAGCCATCCTGACCCCCTTGCACTGATTAGAGAGTGTGGTGAGGGGCGGTCGAGTGGCCCATCCCCCTGCCGCAGGCAGGGAGCTCACCAAACAGGCAACTGGCACCTCTGTCCTCAGGCAATAATTGTCTTTTTAGATTTGAAAGGAATATCAAAGACAGGAGCATATAAATTTAATCACCCAGCAAATATTTACGATGTACCAGGCACTGTTTTAGATGCCAGGAGTACAGCAGGGAACTAAAAGCCCCTGCTGTTATGGGGCTTACATCCCAGCAGAGAAAAGCAGACAATAAATCATGCGTGATAGGTCCTATGGAAGAAATAAAGTAGGGTGAGGGGGGAAAGGATTGCTGATTGGTTTTGAGTGAGTTCAGGGAAGATTTCAGTGAGATGCTGTTTGAGTCATCACTGGGGGAGCTGACGTGGCTGTGCAGGTGTCTGGGGCCGAGTACTCCAAGTAGTGACCACAGCAAGTGCACGAAGCTACAGCCGAAACTGCTGAGCAGGATTGGAAGACCACGGTGAGGTAGGAGTGCTTCTTCTGCCCCTAGAGACCAGGCCGGCATCGGAAGAGTTTGGCGATTACTGAGCTGACAAGCCTTTGGCAAGTGGTGTGCTTGAGGACATGCTCTGACGTCCATTTTCGATACACTGACCATATTAATTATTAATAGCGTCCCCTTCATACTTAGTCATGATCTGGTTTGGACAATAAATTATATGGCTACCCTAATTTTAGATTTACACTAGCTGCTGTATGGAAAACAGACTTCAGGTGGGCAAGCAGGGAGGTGAGTTACCATCATCTAGGAGATGAGGATACCTTGGACCGGACTGGTCGCAGGAAAGGCTAAGCGGGAGGTGGGTGGATTCTGGATGTATGTGATGCGAGGGCCGACAGGATTGGCTCATGGTTTGGATGTGGGGCTGGAGAAAGGAGAGGAGTCAAGACTGACTCTAAGGCTTTTGATCCGAGCCCTGGAAAAGCTAGAAGATAGAAAGATTCCCAGAAGAATGATGGGATCCATATTTCTATAGTACCAGACTTTCTACTGAAAAAACTGGGAAACAAGAAAAATTAACCTGTTGTCATTCAAATTTGAGCTTGTTATGGGGTGACCAGTGCTAAATGCATTGTGATGTGTGAGCCTGTTGTTTCTGAGATTTAGGAATACTGGCAAGAAGAAATATGTTTTACCGTTTTGTTGAAAATCTTCAGGCAAAAGGATTAGTTTTAGTTGGCACTGATTTTGGGTAAATGGAGAGAAATGATCATGAGACTGTTTCTTGTAGGGTTGAAAATAGGAATTAGCAAAAGTCGGGAAACTGGAAGAGATGAAAGGACATCACAAAGGGATAAAACCTTCATCATCCATGTTGGAGATAATTACCCAGTCATCTCATCTAACAAGTACTTTTTAAATGCTTATCTGCCAAGCAGTGTGCTAAGCTCCCTGAAAACAAAGATTCCCCTCCTGTCCCAAATACAATACAATGCAAGAGTTGCTGGGGTGACAGTATGTGTAGAAGTAAGAAGGAACATGGGACAATGACCCCGTGAGCCTACCTTGGGTGTCAGGTTAGGGTGAGCTCTGAAGGTGAGAAGTTTGCCAAATGGATGAGTAGAGGGAATGGTAGGTGCAGGAGATCAGAGGCCTGAGAACTTGCTGCTGGAGTATAAACTGAGAAGGGGAAGGGAACAAATGGCAGAAGATGAGATTACACAGTGATGTTTAAAATCATTCGGGAGCGCTCACTCATCTACATTAAAAGCCACAGAAAAGGGCCGGCCGAGGGGCGCGTTGGTTAGGAGTTGGCTTGGGACGCCAGCTCTGAGCAGCAGGGCCCCGGTTCGGATCCCACATGAGAGCCAGTGATGCTGCGCCCTCTACAGCTAAGATGGTGAACAACAGCTCGACCTGGAGCTGGGCTGTCGTGAGTCGCCAGCGACAGCGTAGGCTGCAGCCCCTGCTGCAGTGAGCTGCTGTGAGCTACAGTGAGCGGCTGGCAGCTGGCGTGAGCTGCCGTCCAATGGCCTAGAAGAGCACAATGATGATACCAACATGGACCAGTGAAGCGACGTTCTCCACAACTAGACTGAAGAACAAAAGGACAGCAACTTGTCTGTTCCCCTTCCCCGATTCCCCAATACTGTTCCCCTCCCCCAATTCCCCAATAAAACCTTAAAAAAAAAAAAAAGCCACAGAAAAGAAAGCTACAGAGCATGTGCGTGTTGGGGACACCTGTGAACTGAGCGTGCAGTCCTGATTGAGTGGCTAGACGTTCCTTCTGGGTAGTGTCCTTTTAAGTAGAGATGACAGTGCAGGTCCTCTCTCCTGCTTCCCTTGCGTCAGGGGTTGTCAGCCTCAGCACTGTTGACATTTTGGGCTGGATGGTTCTTTGTTGTAGGGGTTCCCCTGTGTGCTGTAGGATGGTCAGTGCCATCCTACGTTCTACCCTTGGATCCCAGGACCAGCTCCCCTCATTTGTCTCTAGACTTTGCCAAATATCAAATATCCCCTGGGGTGGGGGTGGGGGGAATTCGCTCCCAGTTAAGAGTCACCGGCTTACATCACATAGAATGCCTAGTTCCAGTGGTTGTCCCTCCATCGTTTCTCTTGGATCCGTGTCTGTCAGCCTATTTCTGCCACCCCAGTACAGACCTTCATCGTGCTAGTTATTGCATCCTTCCTAAGTATATTTGGTATTGTTTACTCTTTCACTGTAGGAAGATTAATCCTCAGAAAGCTCAGATGTCACACAGCACCCTGCTCATGGTGCAGCGGGTTTATCATTCTATACCCGTCATTCCAAGCTGCTTATATAGGCGTCCAGCCCCTGGCCCCAAGCTGTTTCTCCAGCCTCATTTCTCTGCTTTTTTCGTATTCTCCAACCAAATCTGGAAGGGCTTCCCCAATGCTCCCCACCCCACGTTTCCTCATCCACTTGCTCTTTGCTTATGTTATGTTGCTGGTTGTACCTGCAAGTGGCCGTTCGGATTCCAGGCTGAACCTCGAAGGCCCAGCTCAAACGCCACAGCCCCCACGAAGCCCTTCCTCTGCTGCTCTCCCTTTCTTTGCTCCATATCATCCAACGGTAACATTTATTGGTGTCCTGTTTTCCAGTCCATTAACTACAAACAACAGGTATTCCTTTCTTCTTTGTACTCTTCATATATCTGCAAACATCTTGTCTTAGACACAGTAAGCAGTATTTGAATGTCTAAGTTATCCTGAAGCAGGACTGTTACAAGCTGTGAGACTTTGTTGCCATGTTGATACGCTAATCTGAAATGTTAAGGCTGTGAAAAAGACGCTCAAATCCTGAAGCTATCAGTATTGTTATATAACACTAGAGATTTTCAACATTTGTGTCTTCTTTTTTTTTCTTTCTAGCCTGCCTATCAGAATCTGAGACAACGTGTTGATAACTTCGTTGCGAACCACTTAGCAACTCATACATGGAGTCCCCACCTCAATAAGAACCAGCTAAGAAACAATATTAGACAACAAGTACTCAAGTAAGTCTCAGGATCACCGAGTTCCCAGGCGGCTGGGACACCTCACAGCCCCCTTTGCCTGAAAGCAGAGGCATTACGCAGGATTTTGTTCATCTGATGCTAATTTTGTTAAGTTTGGTGTGGCTACTTCCTATTGGGATGCAGTATGATTTTAGAGTAGGCTCTAATCACTTCACCTTTCTCCCATAAATAACACTCTGGGCTCTCTGTAGACCTTTGGAAATATCGAAGGAAGGGAATGACAATGTGATTTTATTTATATATATGTAATCACAGGTAGTAATAGATGGTAAATGCCAGAATATCCAATACAGTTTACATTCACCAGTATTTTCTTGGCCCTAAAAGAGTAGGCTTTATTATTATTTTACAAATAAAGACATTAAACACCACTGAAATCCAAATATGTTCCCCTGACTTTTGAGGTCATGTCTTCTTCTGATACAGCCCACCACCCTTTTTTTCTTTCGCATTTTATGGTAATTTTTAACTCTGCTTTTTGGTGACGATACAGCCAGTAAAAGAAAAGTGCATTTGGACCTATCAGAGGCATTTTTGAATGAACGTAAATAAAGAGAATGAAAAGCGCTGGAATATTTAGAGAGACCGAGAAAAGTCATTTATTGCCAGAAGAGCAGATTGACAGTGTTACCTTGTTCTTGAATATAAATATTTCCCAAGATAAGGAGACCTGGACCTTCTGTTCCTGCTTCAGCCCCCAGAAAGGTGACTGAGCTATTTAAACATCTCCCAGTCTTCCTGCCTTGACAAGTCTTTATGTTCAAGCACATCTTTTAGAAGAAATGTGGCTCTTCAACAGTTAAGCAAATCTGTTTTCTGCCCGCCGCCTCTTAATTCCCTCTAGTCCCATGGGGACCGTGCAAGCCTACCTGGTGTGCCACTGCACTGATAGTCGTGACCTGCAGGAAGCCCACAAATCCAACTTCACACCGACTCAAAGACCCATTTAGCCGTGGGTAACACTAGAAACCAGGAGCCTGGGGGCTCAGACTATGTCTCCTTGTGAAGAAGAGGGAAATTTAACAATAACTTGGTTGTCTACATTTTAAAGGATGTCTGAGGAACCTGTAAAGAGTCCAGGTGAGATCAAAAGATGCCATTAGAGGGCTGCATAGTAAACCTGTAGGGAAAAAGTCAAAGCCTTTCCTGAAAAAACGGGAGACTGAAGGGGTCTGTGGGGTTGACATGCCTGGAAGGGTACTGGTTTCCAGGCCTTTAGGAGAACAATAACAAAAGTCGGGGGTGGGGGTGGGACCGGGGGTGGCCGCTTACCTGCTAGCATGCTTTTGCAGAGCCTTACGGGTTATTGAGTGCTTTCACTCAGCAATTTGCATAGCTGCCTCCCTTTTCACAAATGATTACATTGCTTCAAAAACATGTTTGTATTCTTTTCTTCCTGGAGAGAGACTAAATGGAGGGCAGATTTCTTGGCAATACATTCACTCCTTAGCAAACCAAACCTATAAAGTAGGGAAGCAGTCATTTGTTCTGTTCTTTTAAGGGAACCAAACTCAGTCTTGCCCCTGTAAAACCAAGCACTCCAAATTCCCGTTGTGCCAGAGTTGGTGTTTGGTGAGGGCCTGCTGTCACATCAGTAAGGGGTTCTTGTGACAGATTAATCCTGGCTTGGCCTTCCTGTGGGTGACGAAGGTCTCCACTAGAAAGAGACATTTACAACAGAAGAAGCGGCTGTCTCCTGTATAATTTAGTCAGTGCTCTTCCTGGGACGTACGAAAATTTTCTTCTAGCTGTGTTACTTATTTTTAAATGAACTATTGTCTTGTTTAAATTCCATTAGTAAAGTTTTATGTTACTGATAACATTTTAAAGCTTCCTTAAAGAGATTATCTAGTTGTGTGTAACTTAAGGGTATAGGGATATACTGGCCCCTATAAATACAGTTTCAAACAGTTTCTCCTACATATACTTTCAGAAAAAGTTGACTCTGTTATGTTGAGCCATCTACAATTGCCATTTTTATAGAACAAAAACAGTCTAATATCAGCGATTTTGGATGGTTCGACTTAATAGCTAATCTGTGAACTCAGTAGAGGGAGAATTGTATTCTATTTGTGTATTAATTTGTACAGCAGGATCTAAAAACGCTAGATGGCTCAGAAAGAATGATCTTAATGAAAGGATTTAAAAGGAAGACAAGGAAATAGCTTTAACCAGGACGGTGCCAGCTGCTAGCATTTGGGCTTTGCCCTTGAACCTGGAGTGTGACTTCCCCCTCTGTGCAGCAGCCGTGGCCACGGCTCACTAGAGCGAGCCCACTAAGAGCAGCGCGGTCATTAGCACTGGCCTCCCGTCTTACGATCAGAGCTGACCGACCACTGTGAGGATGGACAAAAGTAGATAAGGGGCCAGAATAAAAGCAAACAGAGGGACTGAAGCAGTAATTTGGGGTGAGTGGGTTTTATTAATTTTATGCCTTTATACTTGTGCCTTAAAGCAAACATTTTTTTAAGATTGGTTGTCCTTGTTTCTTTTCCATCCACTACATTTTAAAGACACTTCTAAGATACAACAATGTTTGCAGGCTTTGCATATTTTTTTTTTTTAATCTTGGAACTTGAAAAAGCAGGTTACCTACTTTGTGCAGTGTTGACTCATTTTTCTCTATGGCCCACATAAGTAGAATTACAGTATCACAAGGCTGCAAGGGGCCTCAGGAAGCGGCAATCAAAGGCATCCTCCCCTCCAGCCAGAGCTGCACTCAAAAATAGCAATGATGGATTATCGTGTGAGGAATGACTCCTCACCCATTCTGCAGAGGGAGCCCAACGCCTAGGAGCTGGAAAGGATCAGCACCCCGCTCTCCAGAACTGTACAGGAGCTCGCCTCAAGCTCTTTTTAGGAAGAAGCAAGGTTTAAATGCATTTCTTAAAATAAATTCACGTCCTCCTGTTTTGCTCGGACGCCTTTGTGATCTGCACATTTGAGGTTTAGGTGCCCTGTTCGCTGCCCCGTCTCTCGGATCGGCCATTTAAGTTCTGCTTAGATCAAGACTCAGCTCCAGTGCCTTTTCCCTTGTGAAGCATTCCCAGATTATCTCAGACGCGCCTGATCATTCTTACGCCGCCCTTTCCCGACAGTGTGTGTGTCCTGGTGCCTGTCGTTTTGTGTGTCAGTCGTTTGTGTCTGTTCCCTCACCGGAACCTCACCAGGCCTGATTGAAGCAGCTGTGAGCAGCGCGGTGCCTGCTCATGTAGCAGACACTCGTAACATAATTGCTGAATGAATAAATTACCCGGATAATAAAAAGAAAGCCAGAAAAGTCTTCAAGTTTTATTTTTGTTCTAAAGTTTTCTTTCTTATTCTTTATTTCTTTTTTGGTTTTTTTTGTAAATTTGATGAAATTACACTTCGTGTGTATTCTTCAGTTTTCCTGGAGATTCTAATACTTATAAAAAGGCTTAACATTTTTTTGTTTAAAAATAAAGCTGCAGAGCCCATTGATTTATTTTATACCCAGCACTCAGCTTCAGTGATCATTTATTCCTATATGATATGTCACGGCAGGACTGGGGTAAGATAAGCATCGCCTGGTCACCCAGACTCTAGATAGTGTGCTGTGTCTAGGTCTGAGGGTGTTTTGTTTTTGGTTTTGTTTCGTCTGGTTTAGTATTTCCACCAGTGTCGCAGTGGTGGGAAGCTTACAGACTTTTTGCAGTATGGTATGTCTAAATGCCACGATCGTATGAAACTTATTTTCTGTAACCTATTCTTTCTCTGTCCAGACAAATAGATTCAGGAAATTTAAGGTTGAACATATATGTAATCACTACAGTTTTGCTTAAAAGTGAGTAATGCAAATAATATGATTTTTTTTTTTAATCTTTCTTTAAATTACCGTTTCAGATCAGGAATGTTAGAGTCTGGTATCGACCGAATTATTTCTCAGGTTGTGGATCCAAAGATCAACCACACATTCAGACCTCAGGTGGAGAAAGCCGTGCATGAGTTTTTGGCCACACTGAATCCCAAGGAGGAGGCAGGTGGCAGCTCGGCTCCTGACGAGGAGCGGCCCGACGCCTCGGTCATCACACAAGGTGCTTTGCTTTTCCTCTTGGTCAGTTCCATTGCTTTTCTTCTTGCACTGAATGTCGAGTTAGGGATATTTGGTGTTTTTAAACATTCCTCTACATGGCCACTGTAGTGAAACTGTATTTATTTGAAATACCACCCAAATTCCTTAACTGGCGTAACATTTTTTTAATGTTAATACAAAATATTAGGCATTTTAGTAATGTATTGGGAGAGGGTGTATGTTTCAACAGAAGGAATAATGAAAATAATTAGAAAAGATACTGTTTTTCTGGGAACTAGACTATGCTTAGGTTTGCATGGTCCTTTCTAAGACACTGAATGAGAGAATTTGGAGTGTGCTCAGTGCTAGCAGTGGCACCGGCAAGTCAGAAGGCGTGTGAAGGGTCTGTACAGCCTGTTTTGTGTAAAGATGACAGCAGGATGTAGCATTGATTCAGCTGAGGGGTTGACTTCCTGCATAATTTCTTCTAACACTTGTCTTTTCCTCGAAGGTGTCCCTGCTCCTGGGCCCAGTGCAAACGTGGCCAGTGATGCCATGTCAATCTTAGAAACTATAACTTCTCTCAACCAGGAAGCAAGTGCTGCTAGGGCCTCGACAGAAACGGCCAATGCTAAGGCCAGTGAGAGAGGATCCAAAAAACTCCCGTCTCAGCCAAGTGCTGACGCTGGTCCTGAAAAAGAGAGAAGCTCAGAGGACGTGGCTGATAAAGAAAAGCCTCCACCTGATTCTGTAGGAGAAGGACAGGAAGCAGTCCCTAAGCCTGAAGAATTTAGTGACCTCCCTTGTCCAGCTGAAGAAATTAAAAATCACACAAAAGAGAGTAATAGTGCAATTCTCCTGAGTAAGGATGTTCAACAGGAAAGCAGTGACCAAAAAAATAAATCAACAGACAAAGGTGAAAAGAAACCAGACAGCAATGAAAAAGGAGAAAGGAAGAAAGAAAAGAAGGAAAAGACAGAAAAGAAATTGGATCACTCAAAAAGAAGTGAAGATATACAAAAAGTAAAAGATGAAAAACAAGCAAAGGATAAAGAAGTAGAGTGTTCAAAACTTCCTTCAGAAAAGAACAGTAACAAAGCTAAAACCATTGAAGGGACAAAAGAAGGTAAAAACATGCAAAAATCTACGGCAGTTTAAAGAACTATCAGTATCCATTGGGGGGAGGGGGGGCATCAAATTTGCCTTCAAATTGTAATGTATTTGATGCTAGTATTTCAAAACCCTGAGAACTGATATCACCTTCGCTTAAAAAATGAGCACTCTATAGTTCTTCTCCATCCTAGTGCACTAATTCACAAAGTATATGAACAGAAAAGCTGTACATTTTATAATTTAACTCTTAAAATTTATTGTCATAATATTATTCCAAGCAACTTAATTCACAGTTGCATATCCTAATCTTTAAAATAGTAAATAGTAAATATTTCAGTTACTTAAAGTTTGCTTTTATTTTTATCATCTCCATCATAAATCAATAGTTTCGTTATTTTTACAGGATAATAATTTGGCTTTGTATTTTCTGGAAACAGCTCTACCTTATTGGATATTGGTTGCTAATGAGAGATTTTTATTTCTAAAGTTGAAGTTCTTTGACTGTGTTTAAGGCAGAAAATCTTAAATGTAATTTAGGAAGTGGGTTCTAAGTATGTCCGTATACCAATGATTTATCTGCTGTGTTTTCTTGTCTTCTTGAAGATTGCCCTGTGATAGACTCCGATGTCGATGGGCTTACAGACATCACAGTCAGCTCTGTTCACACCAGTGACCTGTCATCTTTTGAAGAAGACACCGAGGAGGAAGTTGTAATGTCTGATAGCATGGAAGAAGGGGAGATTACATCAGACGGTAAAGCATTTTACTTAGTAATGCCTCTGGAAAGCTTCCCGTCGAGCATGGTTTTTACACTGACATCACTGTACCGTGAGAGGCAGTGTGGTGTAGTGGCAGGAGCGTGGGGCTTTGTAGTTGGAAGATACGTTTCTGAGTCCCAGCTCCAAGGTTTTCTGTCCGAGCAAGCTTGGTAAGTTACTGAACCTCAACAAGCCTTGGTCCTCCATCGCTTACCTCGATTCAGATGAGATAATGTGCATGAAGATTTGGGGGGGGGGGGTGACTTGAGGGAGCACGGTGCAAAACTCCCCTCACTTCCAACACTAAGTTTTGGGTTCACAAGACCACGCTTAGGTTTGATAATTTGCTAGGACTCCCAGAACTCCCTGAAATCTGTTCAGCTCACCATTACAGTTTATTACAGCTAAAGGACACCGATTAAAATCAGCCAAGGGAAGAGGTGCATAGGCCAGAGTCCAGGAAAGTTCCACACACAGCTTCCGGTTGACCCTTCCCAGTGGAGTCACAGATAGCATCACTTTCCGGCACCCATGTCTGACTGCACACGGATTATTGCCAGCCCGGGAAGCTCACCCGAGCCTCGGTGTCCAGTGCTTTTATTGGGGCTCCATCATGTCATAGCTGGCCGCCCATGTGTCTACCCTCAGTCTCCAGTGCCTCTGGAGGTCAAGCTGGTACTCCGTGACCCAAAGCCCCCACCCTAAATCACACTGTCAGGTGGTTTGGCTTGATGCAAGACCCCTCGGCTCACAAACACTGCTGTCAGGCCTGGCATTCCAGAGGCTTAGAGATGGCCTCCCAGAGGCCAAGGACAAAGACCGGACCTCTCATTACTATACAGTGGGGTTTTGAGCTAACCCGTAGTAAGCATGTACTATGTTCCAGGCACTGTGCTAATAAGTTAGTACACTATTCTGTGTATCGGCAGCCATCATCTTCACAGCAACCCTGGGAAGTAGGTCCGGTGGAGAAATAAAGTCACTGAGGGAAGATATCTCGTCCAGGGTCATGTAGCTCGTGAGCACCAGTGTCACTTTCAGACCTGAGTCTGGGCTTCTGACCAACAACTTAGGCTGCTCTTTACCACATGATTAAATTCTGTTGATGACCTTTTTTAAAAATCAGAAATATTGAGTGTTATTTTCAATTGCTTGTAAATAGCATCTTATAAACTCAATGCTGGCTTTTGGATAGTACTTAGAAATTTTTAGAGGGGGATAACTAGAAGCATTTAATACCACAGACGTACTTCTCAGAGTCCCTCCTTTTTCATTCTTTTCTTCGTATCCATGAAAAACTAAGTTACCAACCCAAAAAAGCAGCAACCTCCCTCCCCGTGTTCACACCTATCCTCGTGAGGTCAGTTCGGTTAGTGCCCGTGTAGGAAGGGTGCGCCCCATGCCTCCTGCGCCAGCCTCACTAACATTCTAATTCTAGATGCTTTTGGGGGTCTTTTCACGTTTTTCCCTGGATAGGGCTAGGTTTTATGTGTAGCCCTATGTCCAAAATGTAAGAAGATGGCTATTTTGAGAGTTCCAAATGGTAGGAAATGAAAACGGTGTTTACAGAGTTTTCTTTTTACTTTTCGCTGTGTCACAAGGATGCAAATTGCCTCTCTAAGGTGGAAGGCTTTTAGTGTCTACTAAAAGTGTAGGGCCTCTTCCATAAATGAGAGACTCATGGGCGGTCATTAAAATCTCCCTAAATGGGTGACCAGTTAGCTCAATTGGTTAGAGTGTGGTGCTGATAACACCAAGGTTGCCGGTTCAATCCCCGCATGGGCCACTGTGAGCTGCGCCCTCCCTAAAAGAGTCAACTATGCCACTGTAGCATGAAAGCAATGTGTAACCAATGACCATGGCTGTTGCCCAAAAAAGTTTAAAACAAAAAAAAAACTCCCTAAAGTACGGCTTCAAGTGAATGTGTTCAGTTCAACAATGGTAAAGCGTTCATGTTGAAGTCCACTGACATACAAATGAGATTTGCCAAGAAAACATAAATACTATAAGGTTTCATTGTTCTTTACCAACTTCCTTTATGTGTGAGAAGCTGATTGTTAAGAAATAAATTATGGGCCAGCCGAGTGGCATGGTGGTTAAGAGCTGGCTTGG